TACCACTGAGCCACCTTCCCAGCGCCCCCACTTTACTTCTTTGGGGTTAAAGTTGACACTCGTGCTTCCATTTGGGATCCTGACAACTTTCATAGTTGTACTTTTTATTTTGCTGATACTGGGTCTTGAACTCAGGGTTTAGATGTTGTCCCTAAGCTATCATACTCAAGGTTGTTGCTCTACCACTTGAGCAACAGTTCTTCTGGCTTTTTGGTGGTTTATTGGAGATAAATGTCTCATGGATTGGCCTGTCTGGGATGGCTTCAAACTGTGATCCTCAGATCTCAGCTAGGATTACAGGTGTGAGCCACCAGCATCCAGATCACATTTTTTTAAAAAAAATTTTTATGATGTCAAGGGAGTACATTTATACTCAGACATGATAGAAACTTTTAAAGATATCTTTTCCAGAGCTGTTGCTTTACTTAATGTTGTATATATGTGGCAAAAGATTGTCCAAATAGTTGCAAAGTTGGCAAGTTGATGTAAGAAGTCTCTTTCTTGACCATTAAATATCACATATGAAATCAACAGTGCTTAATCACATTGGGATGTTTAACTCATTGTTTACTGATAATAAAATGTACTGTGGAATTACTTCTCAATATAAATAGTAATTCTGATGATTCCTCAGAACATAATTGAAGAAGATATTATTAAGGAATAAACTGAAATTCAGATTCTGAAAGACAGTAATAGGACATTATTTTGGTATCTTTGAAAAGAAGGAATAAATTTGTCTTAGGTAATGAAGGAGCTAGGCTGACATATTATCAAGAAAATGAAGTAGAGGAAACCACGTTTATCTTTAATAGAAAAAATGATAGGTAGTTTCTGATCTGGGCTTGGATTTTGTTGTTAAGAATGTGGGAATTAATAGAGACACAAGCAGAATATGACAGAGGACCAATTACAAAAGCATATGTGCCACAACTAGATGTGATGCCAAAAGTTATGAATGAATGCCGGTTGCTAAACCTGTTTATAGTTCTTTGTGACGATTTAGACTTAGTTTTTCTCTCCCTAATTAGGATCAATTAGTTGTACATAGGAGCTTCACTGTGGGGTTTTCCTATATTCCATGGAGTTAACATGATGTACTCCATGTATATAATGTGCCCCACTCCTACAATCACTTCTCTTCTCCCCTTTCTTGGAGCAAATTCAGTAGATTTTGTTCTGTTTTAATACATGTCATGTGTATAGAATTCTCCAATTTAACCCTCCATACCTTCTTCTTCTCTTTGCTTACCCCTCCTCCCTCCCCGTCATGGGGCTTGAAGTCTGGGTCTTGGCACTGTCCATAAGAGTCTCAAGGACTTTCCTGCCTGGCCTGGCTTTGAACCACGATCCTCAGATCTCAGCTTCCTGAGTAGCTAGGATTACAGGCGTGAGCCGCTGGCAACTGACTGTTTTTATTTTTTTGTTTGTTTGTTTTTTTCAATGCCATTATTAGGGCTTGAACTCAGGCTTGCTTAGTTACTGCTAGTGCTCTACCACTTGAGCCAAGCTTCCAGTCTGTCATTTTGATGGATAATTGGATATGTCATCTATGCCTAGGCTGTTGGGGTTAGACTTCCTGAGTAACTAGGATTACAGTTGTGAATTAACTACTAGTGCACAACTCATCCATTTTTTTAATTCAAAATTTTAAATTAAGGTAAGTGGTACTAGGGTTTTCATTGTGATATTTCTACACATGTAAAAATGCATCCTGCTCAGCCTTACCTCTGTCTATCACTCTCCCCCTTAAAATAACTTCAGCAGGTTTCATTGTTCTATTTTTATACATGCAAACAGACTACCATATCCATTTATTCTCCTTTTTAGCTCTCCCCATTCCCACTGGTTCCTGTCCCCACAACCCAAGGATGTTGTACTGTCTTCTTTTTTTTTCCTTTGTGCCAATCCTGGGACTTGAATTCAAGGCCTTGAATTCTCACTTGACTTTTTGCTCAAGGATAGCACTATACCACTTGAATCACTCTTCTACTTCCAGCTTTTTGCTGGCTAATAGGAGATACCGGTTTCTCAGGACTAGTCTAGAACCTATATTATTCTTGTATAGTCTCAAGATAGGTTGTCCTAGTGATTTCATGCTTTATATTTCTTCCTTAACTCTGTACATCTGGTGTACAATATGATGGTTACTGACCACATGGGACTGCTGAGCACTGTAAATTGTGGTTTGTTGTATTGATTTTGCTGTAAGGGATAATGTGCACCATGGAGTTGGAACACTACATACAAAACAATGGGGAGAGCTACTTTTTTGTTAGTTTTGCCAGTCCTGGTGCTTAAGCTCAGGTCTTGGACACTGTCCTTGAGGATCTTTTGCTCAAGGTTAGTGAGTAAACTACCACTTAAGCCACAGCACTACTCCCAGCTTTGTCTGTTTAAGTGGCACTGAGGAATCAAACTCAGGCCTTCATGCATGCTAGGCAAGCACACTATCACTAAGCCACATTCCAGCTCTTCGGTTATTTTTTAAATGGTGTTTTTTTCACGAGTTTCCCACTTTTTGCCCAGGCTGGCTTTGGACTGTGATCCTCAGATCTCAGCTTCCTGAATACCTATGATTACAATCATGAGTTACTGGTGCCTGGCAAATGGTGATTGGGCTGGCTTGGGCTGGCTTTGAATCAAGATCCTCATGTTTCAGCTTCCTGAGTAGTTAGATTTATAGGTATGAGTCACCATTGCTTGGCTTTTATTAATTTTTAAGGATTATATTTATTATGTATACATATGTACATACAGAGTATGCAATATAAGTAGGATAGGCAGTGTTGCAAGAAAAAATGTTTTAAATGTAGGAACATTTTTAATTCTTTTCTATCAGCATCTCAACATCTTGTCCCCTTTACCACGGTGTGTATTTTACCTTTGTTTTTCTTTTTACCACCGTCTTCTTAACATATTCTTCTGTTTTCCCCAATCAGTTATTTCAGGTGCCATTGGAAGAAGAAGGACAACGTGGTGGGCCTATTCTTGCACCAGAAGAGATTAAAACTATCTTTGGTAGCATCCCAGATATCTTTGATGTCCACACTAAGATAAAGGTAAATTTTGTTCGATTGATAGTATTGTTTGAGTTGTTCTATTCATCTCTAGGTTTTTTTTAGATTGTTTTTATTAGCATGCATTAGTTATGTGTGTGGGAGGTTCATGTGACATTTCCATATATGCATAGAGTATATCCTGATCAAGTTCACCCCTTACTACTTTTCAGTGTTTTATTGTTTTTTATACGTATGTATGAAGCATTTTGACCATATTACCCCCTTCACTCTCCAGTTGGTTCTCCCCATCCCACTGGTACCTACCCCCAACAGAACCTATTTTAACATTCTTATTACTCAAAAACTTGTTTTTGGAGTGTTTTTGGAGTTAGAATCTTATGCTAACTTTGAACTTGAGCCCTTTTCCTCAACCTCTTGAATAATTGCAACTTTAGATTTGTGTCACCATGCTGGCAAGGTGGAGTCTCATTAAACTACTTATATAAAAGTAAAAACCAAAACAGCTTACAGCCCAGTGCTGGTGCTCATACCTGTAATCCTAGCTACTCAGGAGGCTGAGATGTGAGGCCCACAGTTTGAAACCAACCTGGGCAGGAAAGCTTGAAAGACTCTTATTTCCAGTTAACTACCAAATAGCCAGAAATCGACTTGTGGCTCAAGTGGTAGAGTGCTAGTCTTGAGCAAAAGAGCTCAGGGACAGCCTCTAGGCCCTGAGTTCTGGCCCCAGGACAGGCACACACGGACATATACGCACAACATGCTATCTTGGAGCCTGGGGACTCGCTCAGCAACGAGCTCTCATCTGATGTGTTGGTGTTGGTTTCACCACTTTCACTTCTGAAGAAAAGAACTAGGGGAAAACAGTGTTGTTTCTTTTTATTTTTCCTGTATGATATTTGAACAAAAGCACTGTTTTCTGTTAAAAAAATTCCCATATTGGTGTTTATTTTATAGTCCAATAAAAGGATCAGTCTGAACTATGGAATGTTTTTAGACAGATACATAAAACTTTTTAGTATGCCTTATGAGTAAAAAGTATAAACGATCTGTGAGTTAGCAAAACTGTAGGTTAGTGAAAGTACCATTTACTGAATGTATTTTGTCTTTTATCAGAATCCTCCATCTGTTTCATTTAATTTCCAAAACTTGATATGAACTCTAAAGAATTCTTTTTGCTCTAAAAGCTAGTTTATCTTTATTTCCAGTTAGGGTCTTTTAAAGACATTAATCTTTTATATCTTTTATGCTTTAGAAAGCTATCACTAGATTTCTTTGGTAGAGAGGATTTTTTTTTGTTTTGTTTTGTTTCACAGTTTTTTTCAAATGTCATGTTTTTCTTGCCTATTTCCCTTCCCATATAGTTCAACCCTTCTTTGCTTTTAAATTAGATAAAGTCTTGCCTATTCCCAGGGGCTGGCCTCTTCAATGAGATCCTTTTCCTTACAGTCTCTCCTACTTACTGTTTATTTGGGCTGTCATTTTATTGAGTTAGAAGTATCTTAAAATTCTGGATATGTTTCTTTAAAAGTTTTAAAATCTGATGAAATCCAGTTGATTACCTTTTAAAAAATGGACTGTACTTTTGGTGTGATATCTGACAAATGAATACATTAGTATTATAGGAGGATGGGGGGGGGGTTGTTTCATTGTCCACACGTATCTCCCTCCAAGTCAGTCTACCTCCTCTACCACTCTTATTTTACTCCTTCTTTCTTCCGCAAAGCAATTTCCACGTGTTTCCTTGTTCTGTTTTCATACATGCAACCAAACTACTTGGAACCTTACTTATCATCATCCAACTCCTTTGTTGTCCAGCTTGCTTCTGCTAGCACCCACCCTCCAGCAGAACCTCTTCTGCTTGGGATAACGGATTGTGTTTTGCTTCTCAGTGATGGGGTCATATCTAGGCCTTGTGCATGCTAAGAAAGCATTCTACCATTGAGCTACATTTCCAGCCTCAGTGTATCTATTTTTTTTTTTTTCTTTCTGTGCTGGTTCTAGAGCTTGAACTCAGGGTCTGGGCACTGTCCTTGAGCATTTGTGCTCAAGGCTAGTTCTCTACCACTTGAGCTACACACAGCTCCACTTCTATTTTTTTTGGTGACTAATTGCATGTATGAGTCTCACTCAGGCTGGCTTCGAATTATGGTCCTCAGATCTTAGCCTCCTGAGTAGCTAGCATTACAGGTATGGGCCACCGGTGCAAGTATTAATTTAGTTAAAATGACCCATTACATAATAACAAATGGCATTGTTATGAAAAAAGGACTAATTCCTAAAACTATACAGTGAGAAGCACAGTATTTACATTGTGTATAGGTTTTTTTTCCTCCTTTTTAGTAGAAAAGTGACTTTAGATTTTGCTCTGGTAGAGTACTGCACATTGTGTGTGCTGCAGGAGAGAGAAAAGTCAATACCTTAGAATTACAATGAAACTAGTTTTTTAAAAAATTATTGTTTAAATTGTTGAACAAATGAGTTTCATTTCAACATATGGATGTATGAGTTCAGTCTTAATCAGTGTTCCATCGTTCTCCCCCTCCCTCTATCCCTTCCATCTATCCCAACTCCACCATAGTTACTTAGTTCTATTATCACGTTATGTACATTGAATATTACACCTGTTTGCCCAACCTTCCTCTCTTTATTAAAAAAATAGTTTTAATTTCATGGGGTCCTTAGAATGTGTTTCCCAGGCTTTTGAGATGCTACATTGAGACCCTCTGATAAGAGGTTACTTACTAGATGGGCCCTGTGGTTCATACTTATAATGCTAGCTACTCAGAAGGCCGGGATCTGAGAAATGCAGTTCGAAGCCAGCCCTGGTAAACAAATCTGAGAGACATGCATTTTCAGTTAACCAGCAAAAAGCCCTAATTGGAGGCTCAAGTGGTAGAGAGCCAACTGTGAGTGAAGAACTTGACAGATGAGGTCCTTAGTTCTAGCCCCCCATATCAGTCCTCACCTCCCAAAAAAGAGCTTACTGATTTTTGCAGTAAAATTACTTAGAATTTTAATTATTTAATGTCATTTTTTGGCATCTCATTTTGTCATTTCCTTTCTTGTGAAGTTTATAAATGTCTTCTAAATTTTTACGAGTATGTAATATTTTAACATGACCATGGAGAGCTTTGTTGACCAGGGATTAGGAAGCTGTGGTTAATGGGCCAAATCTTTTCTACTACCTGATAGGGTACAGAGGGTCTTAGAACAGAGCCACTCTTAGTGTTGATATATGGTCTATGGTGGTTCCTACTTTGCAGAGCTGAGCAGTAATGACAGAAACTATATGGCCTTCACTGTTTATCATCTGTCCCTTTAAGTAAAATTTGCTGACCCTATTAATGGACTATACTTTTTAATGACATGCCTCAGCATGTCAGCAGGATTAACTTCCAGATTAATAATGCCAATCAATTTATAGTTTCAATAGAATAGTTAACTTATGAATAAGACACATTATTGAGCTATTACATTAAGAAGTTAGTTTTACTGACTAGATACTATATTTTCTTTATTTTTAGTTTGTAGACATTCCTTGTTGAGGAGAAAGGTGGGATATTATTTTGCACATCAAATTAAGATGAAGACACTTCTTTCCAGTTGGATATCTTGGACATATTAAAAGCTGTACAATTAAGATGTACAATTAAGCTGTCAAGCTTTTTAAACATTTTAAATGTTTCAATTGGTTTGATTTTAGGATGATCTAGAAGACCTAATTGTTAACTGGGATGAGAGCAAAAGCATTGGTGACATCTTTCTTAAATATGTAAGTATTTTAATTTTGCTGTTTCAAATTGAAGTATCTAATCAAGGACTCAGGGAAATCCTTTAAATGATCAGAGGTTTACAAACTTTGACATAGTTAAGTTTATAAAATATGTTTGTATTGTTCTTAGCTGCTGAAACCGTGCTTCTTATACATAGACTAATACAAGATCATCATTAGAATAACAATAATTATCTCACTATGGTCAGTGAGATTATATTATGTCAGATTACTTACCATTCATAAATGGTCACAGATTAGTGATCTTATTCAAACTTGCTACATAAGCTTTTCTTTTTCTTACTGATAATATTTTTCACTCTCCTGTCTTTCTGTTTAAAGGTTCCTAATGAATTGCTGCTTCTATTTGAGGATAAGAACCTCATATCTGGGGATGGAGCTCCATGGTAGTGCACTTGCTTAGCATGCATGTGGCCCTGGGTACAGTCCAGAGCATGAGGGCCGATGTCCTTTAAAAACAAATGCTGCATGTGGTGCTGCATGCCAGTCTAAGCACTTGTGAGAGCAGGGCAGAAGGATCAGAGGTTCAAGGCCAGCCTTGGCTACATACTGAGACTGTCTCAGAAAACCAAAATAAAGAACAGAAAGAAATCATAGTGGGGTGTCGGTGGCTCACTCACAGGAGGCTGAGATCTGAGGATTGAGGTTCCAAGCCACCCCAGGCACTCTTATCTCTAATTAATCATCAGAAAACTGGAATTTAGCTTTGTGGCGTTAAGTGGTAGGGCACTAGTCTTGAGCAAAAAATCTCAGAATCAGTGCCCAGGCCCTGAGTTCAAGCCCCATGACTGAAAGAAAAAAACCCAATAAAACAAGAAATACCTAGCCTAAGTACATAAAACATTCAAAACATTCATTATGATGAGGTTCTGTGAACAGGCTTTACTGTATAAATTTTGTAATCTCTTTGAATAGGACTTGCAAAGTTCAAAGTCTTGTCTACCAGGAACATAATACTTCTGTTTTTGGAGGTCATGCCCTGATTTTCGTTCCTTGTTGTGTCTTAGATGTTTTTTTTTCTGGTTTGTTGAGAATTCCAAATGTCAGAATTATTTCCAGAAATTGTTCTGATGCCTCTTAATGTCCTAAGATTAGCCATTTTCTTGTTCTGCTTGGATTTTTCGATAATAGAATTGTTTTCTTAATAGTGGTTATCATTGTTAATTAAAATTTTCTATGTGAATCAGCTCTAATATAATTAATATATTTCTTATTTATGGGTGTTTTCAAATTTTCTTGTCATGTTTATATTGATACATGGTACACTTTAATACATATACCTTTGATCTTTCTGGGTTTTTATTTAGTTTTTAAGTTTTATGCTGTGTGTACTAATTGATACACTTTGTTCAGTAATTTTGTTTTTTGTGGTTTTTTTGGATAGTACTGAAGTTTGAACTCAACCTCAAGCTTGCTTGGCTGGTGCTTTACCATTAGAGCCATACCTCCAACCTCGCTTTTTACTGGTTATTTAGAGATGGAGGCTTAGGAATTTTTCTGCCTGGGCTGGCTTTTAATAGAAATCTTTGAAATATCATCTTGTGAGTAGCTAGGACTACAGGCTGCTTGGCATCTTCTTACTGAAACGCTTATAGGATAAGTTTATACATTTGCTTTGTGAAACTTAGAGTTTCCTTTTGCATATAATGTATCAGATTGTGACTGCTGACTGACTAAGTTTCATTGTACAAGGGTGGCATGCCTAAGAAATTGATGGTTATTTTCCCTTTCTTATTCCTAGTCCAAAGATTTGGTAAAAACCTACCCTCCTTTTGTAAACTTCTTTGAAATGAGCAAGGAAACAATTATTAAATGTGAAAAACAGAAGCCCCGATTTCATGCTTTTCTGAAGGTAATGTACATTTTTGGGGGCAGAAATGGGGTTTGAACTCAGGTCCTTGTGGTTAGGCAGTGTTAAGTGTGGTCAGACCTATTGGTAACAGTGATGTTTAAAAGATATGTTAAGTAGCAGAGGTTCACACACAGGTGAATGAGTGACCATACTGTATGTATGTGCTTATTTAGAAAAGGGAAAAAAGTTATGTGTACTTTTAACTCTTCAAACACAGATTTCCCAGTAGGATTTAAAAAAAAATTTTCCATCATTGTTTTAGTTTATCTTATGGTGTCAGCATAGTTAATATTTTCCTTTTGAATGATTAGATTTAAAAGAAACTTAAGACAGGATACCTAGGAGTGTGTAGAGAAGCGCACTTTCTCCGTGAGATGTTGACCTTTGTTGGCTAAGAGTCATTTCAGTCCTGGGAGACGATTCCATCACAGTGCTTTGCCTAAAACTGAAAGCACTGATCATTTACCAGGTCTCTTTTTAGTTCCTGTCAAGGACCCAAATGATAAAATATAATTTAAAAAAGTGTAAGTTAATGTTTACGTGAGACTTTAAAAAAACTTAAAAGTTTTTTGGAATACATTTCTTTCAGATAAATCAAGCTAAACCAGAATGTGGACGGCAAAGCCTTGTTGAACTTCTCATCCGACCAGTGCAGAGGTTACCCAGTGTGGCATTACTTTTAAATGGTACTTGTCTGATCTGTTGGAGCTTACTTTAGATATTTCTTTGGAATAGTTCTTTGTCTCTCTGGCTCTTTCTGGCTTGCCCTCTCTCTTTGGTTGGTATAGAATTAGAACTGAAGGCTTCTACCAGTAAGTCATCCTTGTCTCCATCTCAGTTTTATTGCTGAAATTCTTCTATTTTTCAGAGATTCTTAGGTTTTTTAGCACTTAAATTTATCTTTTACCTAGAAAACATCATTATAAATTGTCTTAACAAGTAGTCATCCTAGCCAGGTACCAGTGGCTAATGCCTGTAATCCTACCTACTCAGGAGGCTGAGATCTGAGGATCATGGTTCAAAGCCAGCGTGGGCAGGAAAGTCCGTGAGACTCTCATCTCCAATTAATCACCAGAAAACCGGAAGTGTCACTGTGGCTCAAGTGATAGAGTGCTTCCCTTGAGCTGAAGAGCTGAGGGACAGCGCCCAGGCCCAGGGTTCAAGCCCCATGACTGACCAGGAAAACAAAAAAACAAGTAAAAAGTAGTCATCCTTGCTATAAAAATACAAGCTTACCTGAAGGTCACCCCTTCTGGTGTTAGCTGTGTTGACTTGCATGCTTTTGTCTATTTTTTAAAGAAAGTCTTATGATGATATGTGACTAAAAATCAGTTTATATTCAAATAGCACAGAATTCACAGATGATTTCATGTGTCCCAGGTTTTTAGTTCTTTCTGTGTATTTTAGACTTTACTTTTAATTTTAGACTGTTCAATATATAATTGAAACCTGTAGTATCTATCTTTTTAAGAACATAAAACTACAAATCTCAGTAGTAAGTTTTATATATAGCTCAGTTTTTATGAATAAATTTTGGCTTTGGTTTAAGAAAAATATACATATATTCCTTTATACTTTGCTTTACTATAGTAGTATTAAGACAGATACTTTAAAATTTTATTTACTTATTTATTTATGTGCTGGTACTGGGGCTTAGGACAAGTGCTTTCCACTAGAGCTACAGCTCCACTTCTGACTTTTTGGTGTTTAATTGGAAATATGAATCTCTTGGAATTTGCTGCCTGGACTGGCTTTGAACACTAATCCTCAAATCTTAGCCTTCTAAGTAGCTGGGATTACCGATGTGAGCCATCAATGGCCAGCTAAAAGCTAATTTATAAAGAGTAAGAAAGTCTGCACTTAAGAATTTTGAGCCAGGGCTGGGAAGGTAGCTCAGTGGTAGAGTGCTTGCCTTGCATGCTCGAGGCCCTGGGTTCGATTCCTCAGCACCACATAAGCAAAAAAAAAAAAAGCCGGAAGTGGCGCTGTGGCTCAAGTGGTAGAGCGCTAGCCTTGAGCTGAAGAGCTGAGGGACAGTGCCCAGGCCCAGAGTTCAGGCCCCACGACCAGACCCCAAAAAAAGAATTTTGAGCTAGATATGGTGCACATCTGTAATCCTTACCCTCCTGAGGGTAAGGATGGGGCCAGTTTGGGGCCAGGCTAGACGGTAGAGTTGGACCAGGTACAAAAAATAAGAGAATTTGATCTCTAAACCTAAAGTAATATATGGAGCAGATAACAGGTTAAATTTGTGTCTGTTTTTTCTATAAAATATTTTGGTTAAGAACTGTCTACAAACTCTAAAATTGGCACTTTTTTAGTTTATGTTAATTGAGTATTGGTGGCTTATAAAATGATTTCCCTACCTCTTGCTTTACTGATTTTAAGGATTATTTAAAATCAGGGTATGTCTTCACTGTTGTTTCACCTAGTACTTTTATTGCATAGAATTCCATCAAATGATTATCCTGAGCTTTTCACATGGTACTAGATTGAATATAGTTTGTTAATATGTGTCAAGTATGGTATAAGAAACGTAGTAACATATTTAGTAATAACATTTAGTATGAGCTTCTTAGAGAAAAAAAATTGTCCCTTCAGGACACCAAATGCTCTTTGTAACTGAGACATGTGGCTCAATGTGAAATGCAAAATATATAATGATTTAAGTCATAATTGAGCATTGTGTGTGAGAATCTTTCAGTACAATGGAGGAAGTGAGGAACTTGAGGCAATAGTTAATTTTAAAAAGATGGATGTATAAAAGAGCTTTTAAGGGAAGTGTGTGTGTGTGTGTGTGTGTGTGTGTGTGTTGAGGTTTAGCAAACACTGTACCACTGGTTTCATTTTGAGTCTTGGTTGTGTTACCCAGGTTGGCTTCAAATGGAAGACCTGTGACCGTGTGTGTGTGTGTGTGTGTGTGTGTGTGTGTGTGTGTGTGTGTTGAGGTTTAGCAAACACTGTACCACTGGTTTCATTTTGAGTCTTGGTTGTGTTGCCCAGGTTGGCTTCAAATGGAAAACCTGTGACCTTGTGCCATCATGCCTGGCTAAACATTTTTTCTTTCTCTTTTTTCTTTTTGTCAGTTGTGGAGTTCGAACTCTGGGCTTGGGCACTGTCCCTCAGTTCTTCAGCTCAAGGCTAGCACTTGAGCACAGAGCCACTTCTGGTTTTCTGAGTGGTTTATTGGAGATAAGAGTCTCATGGACTTTCCTGCCCAGACTTTCCTGCCTGGGCTGGCCTTGAACCATGATCCTCACATCTCAGCCTCCTGAGTAGCTAGGATTACAGGTATGAGCCACTGGCTCCACAGCTAAACATTTTTTCAACTAAAAATTAGATAGGATCTTTAAAAATAAAATTTATTAAGATTGATAGCCTTAGATGGGAAGCTACTGATTTCCTTTTTTTTTTTTCTTTTTTTGGGGGGTCCGGTGGTAGGGCCTGAACTCTGGGTCTGGGCGCTGTCCCTCAGCTCTTCAGTTCAGGGCTAGGGCTCTACCACTTGAGCCACAGTGCCACTTCCGGCTTTTTTTTCCTTTTTGCTTATGTGGTGCTGAGGAATCGAACCCAGGGCCTCAGGCATGCAAGGCAAGTGCTCTACCACTGAGCCACCTTCCCAGCCCTGATTTCCCTTTTTGTTTTTAAAATATTAAGGATTGAACTGGACCTTGTACATGCCAGGCGAGCACTCTAGCACTTGAAACTATATCCATAGCCCTTTTTGATTTTGAGACAGGTTTTGTTCTCTTTTTTTTCTGGCCTTGAACTTGAGATTCTCTTGTTGTTGCCTCCTGAATAGTAGCTAGGGGTATAGGCATGCGCCATCATACCCAGCTTAAGTTTGTTTTCAATCATGGAAAAATTATTTATTATTACAGATCTTAAGAAGCATACAGCTGATGAAAATCCTGACAAAAGCACATTAGAAAAAGCTATTGGATCACTAAAAGAAGTAATGACGTAAGTACATTGTTTCAATTCCTTATTAATTCCTTAGATTTAGAATTAAATTGACAAATTACAAAGGATATCTAAGTTACTTTAGTATGTTTACATTTACATTCATATTTACTTCTTAATATCTTTAGCTTTTATGTGTCTTGCTCATAATATATTTTTAGTAAATGTTGAATTACAAGAGCTAAAATTATAGTATTGAATTGTAATGTTGACTTGTTTGTAAGGTATATAGAATTTGGTCAAATATAAATTCTTGAGGTTTTTGAGTTTAGGGAGTAAGTGCTTATCATGGCTGGTTGAAACAACCATCGCCTCTTAGATAAAGGAAATAATGACGACACCAATTCAATAATTGCCATTGAAGTAAACAAAAAATTTAATTTGTACAACATAAATATCCATAGCTTATGTTACCAAATATTTATTTTTAAAATTTGAGACAGTCTTGCCCTATAGATCAGGCTGGCTCCAAACATGAGATCTTCTTGCCCCAGCACTCTCTAGCAGTCTCTTTAGTACAAAGATTATAAAGATGCACTGTCATGTCCAGCTTACTTTACAGATATTAAATTGATATAGATACAAGTTTTTAGTGACTTTAATATGCCTATTTTTCTACTTAGGGTGAGTACATAATTAAAATATAATTTGCTAATTTTGTAATACGTGTATGATACTCCCTTGAAACCTTGACCACAACAATGTAAGGGACACTTTTTTTCCCCACTGAGGAGAAAATATGCTCCTTGATAATCCCTTTTTCTGTCTCTTCCTGTCCCACCTATCCCAAGACAACTTTTGTTCTGTCACTGTGATGTGCATTTTTAAGGGTTTTATCTAAATTGAGTCTAATGTTATATTCTTTTGTCTGGTTCTCATATCCCCCAACCACCCTCCCCAGCATAATTATTTTTTGATTACTTTTAGTTTCTGGCTATTATAAAGAAAATTGCTATGAGGATTTGTAAACAAATCTTTGAAATTGTGCTTTTGTTTCTCTTGGCTAAATTGCTGGTAAGGTTGATGAGGTTAGATAATAATGAATGGACAACTCTTTAATAAACTGCCAAATTAAAAAAAAAAATCAGTCCTGGAACTTGAACTCTGGGGCATGGGTGCTTTCTCTGAGCTCTTTCCTCAAGGCTAGTATTCTACCACTTGAGCCACAGCCCCACTTCCAGCTTTTTCTATGTAGTTTATTGGACAGAGTCTCACAGACTTGCCTGCCTGGGCTGTCTTTGAACTGTGATTCTCAGATCTCAGCCTTCTGAGTAGCTAGGATTATAGGCATGAGCCACTGATGCCCAGTTTAAAATTTTCTATTTTCTTTTTCTACCAAGATTGTATGGTGAGTTCCGAGACCCAGTGTCAACATTCACTTTGGTCATTTCTGTCAGATGTGCAGTGCCTTCCCATCTAGATTTTATTTTTGTATTTTACTGTTTTTTTTGTGGTAGTAAGATCAGATTCCACACCTTGAACATGCTAGACAATCACTCTACTACAAAGCCACATCTCAGTTATTATAATTAAATTTTGAGAGTTCTCTATGGAACATCTTCTAGTTAAAAATCCTTTTGTCAGGGGCTGGGGGTTTAGCCCAGCGGAAGGGTGCCCGGCACACGCAAGGCCCTGGGTTCGGTCCTCAGCCCTGGAAAAAAAAAGCTACAAAAAAACCTTTTGTCATATATGTGATTTGCAGTTACAGTCCCATGGCTTGTGGTTTGCTTTCTCTTTTAGTAGCTTTTTAACTTAAGATTTTAAGATTTTTAAGTATAATTATTAGTTTTTTATTATCAAGTAGTGGTGCAAAGAGGTTACAAATATATAAGTAGGTTATGAGTTTAGTGCTTCTTAATGTCACCCAGTTCATCTTTTCATATTATTATTATTATTATCATTATTATTATTATTATTAGAGCTTGAACTCAGGGCCTGGGTGCTGTGCCCAAGCATCTTTTGCTTAAGGCTAGTGCTCTACCACTTTCGGCTTTTTGGTGGTTAATTGGAGATAAAGAGTTTCATGGACTGTCTTGCCTAGGCTGGTTTTGAACTGCAGTTCTCAGGTCTCAGCCTCCTAAATAGCTACAATTGCAGACATGATTGTCTTGTGTCTGGCTTGCTTTACATGATTCTCTGCAGGTCCATTTATTTTCCTCTTAATGAAAGCATGATTTAATTAATTCTTTATGGTTAAATAATATTCCTTTAAGTTTATATACAATATTCGATGCATCAGTTCATGCTTTGGCAGGTGCCTAGACTGATTTATGTTTCTTGGCTATTGTGAGTATTGCTGCAGTAAACATGTGGGCTTGGATTTCTTTGGATATATAATTAAATAGAATATAGCATGTAGGATCATATGGTACTTCTAATTTTAGATTTTTGAGGAACTTCCATACTGATTTCCTTAGTGACCAGACTAAATAACATTCTAACCAATAGTGCATAATTCTCTATCCCATTCTCATCAGTATTTGATGTTTTGGAGACAGCCATTCTTGTATGTTGTGCTGTGGAATCCTAATATACATAGGTCATTATTTTTCCATCAAATTTAAAAGACAACTTTGCTGGGTACAGTAATTTTAGTTGGCAGATAATTACTCTCAGTGTACATTCTTCATATTCATATAGTCTTTAGTTTGAATTTTCCATTGTTAATTAAGTTCTGCACCACACATAGCAGTATATTCCTCATTCCTTGCATATAGTTCCTCTCACTAACGTAAATTTCTGAAGTCAATTAAAGACAGCCATTTAAAAAGATTTTTGCATTTCTAACATTTAGAGCTTTCTATCACGAAATTTCTCATGTTGAACAAGATACAACCCCCCCCTCACAAAAAAAAAAGTCTTCCCACATTGCTTACATTTTGTAAGATTTCCTAACACTATGAATTGGTGTAGGCTTTCCCATATTTCTCACTTCTTTAGCATTGCACCACAAAAATTCCTTACACTCATGCAGTTTCTCCCCAGTGTGAATTTTCTGGTGTGTTAATTGTGAGCCATGAGCAAGTGCTCACAAGGTTTGTCACCAGTGTGAGCACTCTGATGTTTAATGAGTTAAGATCACTGACAAGGCTTTTGTACAATCATTACATTCTCAGTTGCCTGCTATCAAATCAGGTTTCTTTGTTTTGATTGGCTTCATTGTTGTTTCAGGCAGATGGATAAATGCACACCATCTTATTACATTTGTCTGGAAGCAATAGTCTTAGTTTTTGCTTCAATGAAGTGATTAGCATATGACTTGGGAATGACTTACATAAGCCTTGATTAAACTTACATTTAGAACTTTGACATTTTGTTTGTTAACATGGAAGTTTTGTACCGGCTTAATGTGTTTAGAAAATGTATGGTGGAGTAGGGTGTAAGACATAATTTACTAAAAAAAAATTGTATGGCATATTGTTTGATGTAGTAGGATACTTTAAGATAGGTTTTTAAAAATCTGATTCATTCACCAAAATTAGATTCATATGAAAGAACATTTGGGGTTTTTTTGTGACAAGAGATGTATTTGTACCATTCTGTATTTAAAGATGTTTTAGAAAGTAACCCATTATTTTTTTCAGGCATATCAATGAGGATAAGAGAAAAACAGAAGCACAAAAGCAAATTTTTGATGTAGTGTATGAAGTAGATGGATGCCCAGTAAGAACTTTTTGATTATTGTTTATTTCTTGTAGTGTGTGTGTGTGTGTGTGTGTGTGTGTGTGTGTGTCTGTCTGTCTGTCTGTCTGTCTGTGTCTGTGTCTGTCTGTCTGTTTTCTGGAGCTTGAACTTGGTGCTTAGGTGCTTTCCTTGAACTTTTTTAAGATTGTCACTCTACCTCTTGAGCCATAGCTCCACTTCAGTTTTGTAGTAGTTAAGTAGAAATAAGAACCTAAGAACTTTACTGGCCAGCTTGGCTTCTGACTACAATCCTAAATTCTAAGCCTTCTGAGTAGCTGGGATTACAGGCATGAGCCACTAGTGTCTATCTTTTTCTATAGTTTTTAAATAAGCAGTTTCAGCACTGCTTTGTTTTAAATGACAACTTCTTAAAAATTTCTGGTACCAAATGATCTGATTTCTTTTATTAATGTTTTCAATCTCTACAGGCTAATCTTTTATCTTCTCACCGAAGCTTAGTGCAGCGAGTTGAAACAATTTCTCTAGGCGAGTACCCCTGTGACAGAGGTGAACAAGTAACTCTCTTCCTCTTCAATGACTGCCTGGAGGTAGGATTGTACTTGATATATATAATAACAGAGCTGTTCTCTGTGACTTCCCTGAATATTTCAACCAAGCAAGCTTTGATTGAAGTGTAATATAGATGCTTGAAGTAGACTAATATTCTTTTACAGTGCTTTTAGAAGATCTACTATTAAGAAGTATGAGGGCTAAGACTGTAACTCTGTGGTAGATCTCGTGCCTAGCATATGCAAAGCTGTAGGTTTGATTCTAGCACTGCAGCAAATTGATAAAAAACATATACAAATTAAGAAGTATGATTAATTTTCCAAAACTTGAAATTTAAGTCAAGATGAAAATATAATTTGTTTATAAACAAATAAATGCCTAAGCTATGAATTTTGGAAACTGCTTATTCTTATGGGTTCTTTCTGAAATCTGAGCAGGTTTTCTAGCAAAGATTAAGCCAGTATTTTGTTGGGAAGAGAGAAACTTGATAATTTAATGCTACAGATTTCTTATTTACCCTGGATTCTTCTCTAAATTAGCAGAATGTATTGTGACCAGTATATGTGATTAGATATAATCAATCTAAAACTTTCATCTAAGTCAGGCATTAAGCCACTCATGCCTATAATCCTAGCTACTCAGGAGGTTGAGATCTGAGAGTTGTGGTTTGAAGCCAGCCTGAGCAGGAAAGTTCATGAGACTTAATTCCAATTAACCACCAAATAGCTAGAAATAAACTGGGGCTTAATTGGTAGAGCACTATTTTTAAAAATAAATATATATAAAATATTTATAAACTTATATTTGTAAATTTATTTATGAATATTTATTATTACCTTACATAAGTAACATAATGAGTACATTTCTTTTTAAACTGTTACCCCCTCCCTCATTTTCTCCCATTAACCACTCCACACTTCCTTTCCCCCCAATTTGTAAAGTTCATTTCCAACATAGTGTCTAGTGAATATCATCATTGCATTAGTTCATATCCTTTGCCCTGATGTTTCTGTGATTCCCTTTCTCTTCCATGGATCAGATAAACTTATATACAAGCCAAAGGGTATAGAAAACTAAAACAACAAAAAAAGAAATAACTGTATACAAGACATAATAACATTTTGTTTCCAGTTCTTGAAGTTCATCTTGGTATGCTTCATTATATATGGTCCTATGCATTTAGCGATTGGGCTATTGTGATCCCCTGCTAGGAATATCATAGACATATTGTAGTTATTACAAATGAAGGAAACCATGCAACCTACATTTTTCTTTGGGCCTGGCTTGCTTCACTTAATATAATTTTTTCCAAGTCTTTCCATTGCTTTACAAATGGAGTAGTAATTTCATTCTTTCTGATGGAAGCATAGAACTCCATTGTGTATATATACCACACCTTGATCCATTCATCTACTGAGAGGCATCTGGGTTGGTTCTATATCTTAGCTATGGTAAATAATGCTGCAGTGAACATGGTTGTGCTGGTAGCTTTAGTATGGTCTTGTTTGTAAACATTTGGGTAAATGCCCAGGAATGGGATTGCTGGGTCATAGGGGAGCTCTATGTTTAGTCTTTTGAGTAACCTCCATTCTGCTTTCCAGAGTGGTTGAACAAGTTTACACATCCACCAACAGTATAGTAGCATTCCCTTTTGGCCACATCCCTGCCAGCATATGTTGTTATTAGATTTCTTGATAATGGCCATTCTTACTGGGGTAGAGTCTCAGTGTTTTGATTTGCATTTCTTTTATGGCTAGAGATGTTTAGCATTTCTTCATTTATCATATGTTGGCCATTCTTATTTCCTCTTCAGAGAAGTCACTCTAAGTCTTTAGCCCACTTTGGGGTGGTTGTTTCTGAAAGGACTTGTTTTTGGGGGATTTGATTTTTTGAGCTGTAAGTATATTGTGGATCTGAGGCTCTTGTCTTTGTATAGTTAGTGAAGATCTTCTTCCAATCTGTGGGCTTTCTATTTATCTTGCTAGCTATGTCCTTTTCTGTGCAGAAGCTCTGCAGTTCAATGCAATACCATTTGTCCAACCTTTCTTTGATTTATTGTGTTTCTCGGTCTTTATTAAGAAAATTTCTACCGGTACCAAGGAGCCCTAGAGTTTCTCCTATTCCTTTCTGTAATGTTTTCAGGATATCTGCTTTTACCTCGAGGTCTTTGATCCATTTGGAATTGATTCTGGTAGAGCACTATTGTTGAACAAAAAAGCTCAAGAACAGCATGGAGGCCCAGAGTTCAAGCCCCGGGATGGGCACAAAAACAAATAAAATGTTCATCTATTCTCAATATCTGACAAATAGTAATTGGGTTATGTTTATATACTTTTGAAAAACTTTTCAGTACACGTTTTTAAACAGGCTAAAGGGATGAAAAATGCTTTTCTTTATCTCAGAAAAAAGTTGATTTTGATGAAATAGACATTAAGGAGAAGACTCTGTTACACTAGATAGCTTCCTTTTGTTGTCATCAAAATGATTATGCTTTTCCATTTTCTTTAAAGTTGGCACTCTTCCTTTTATCCTTTTCTACTTTTCTACTTTGCTTTTCTCGAAGTACTGTCCTATTTATATCATGAACATTATTATTTAATTATAAAACAAGGGAATCTTAGAGACCAAGGCATGGCATGGGCAGAATAGTTGCAGTGAAATATAATCTCACTACAACATTACTTGTATTCACGATTCAGTTTTCTAGTTAGAAAGTTAATGAAATATGATATTTCCACTTGGTCAATAGTATTTTTTTAAGTACAAAAAGTAGTAACCAGTAGGTATGGTGGCTCATACCCATAATCCAGCTACTCAGAAAGCTGAGATCTGAGGATCGCAGTTTGGAGCCAGTCTAGGCACAAAATTCTGTGAGACTCTTAGCTCCAATAAGCTACTCATAAAAAGCTGGAGTGTGGTGCTGTGACTCAAAGTGGTAGCATGCCAGCCTGAACAAAATGAAGCTCAAGGACAGAGCCCAGGTCCAGAGTTTAAGCCCCAAGACCAAAACAAGAAACAGTAATTAAAAATATTACCATTATATAAATGATCATAAAAAATATGTGCCAGTTAATTTTAAACTGTGTCCCCATAGTAAGGACTTTAGTCTTTCCTTCCTACTTTTGAAAATAAGTGCTAGACAAAGGAGTCAATTTCAATCATTCTTTAATCTGACTTTAAGTTATCATAGGGGTTTAACTGTGTATAGTCTTTATTTTTAATCTTCTTTTTTTGTGTATAGTCTTTATTCTTCTATTTGTTTACTTCCTGAGGCTTTGTAAATTTTTTCCTGTTCAAATGTCTAGGTCTGCTGGTTCTGTTCTATTAGTGTTTTATCCCTTTATTCCTAGGTCTACTGGCTCCATTCATCCTTGGGCAATGGCAACAACCCCTTTAGTGTCTTGTCCTTTATTCCTGGTGTAGCAGTAACATATTTTAATTTTTTTTTTTATAGCCTCAATATCTCCTGTAGCTGGCTCATTGGCTTCCTTCTACTTTAATTCACACCATTAGCCACCACTTATAGGCTCCAAGTCCTGGCCCCCATTTCTTTTACCTAGTAAATTTAGTGACTTTTTGCTCTATTCCCTTATAGCTTTTTTGTCTCAGAATTGTTAAGAGGAACTGGCCTATTCTCTTTTTTTTTTTTGGCCAGTCGTGGGGCCTGAACTCTGGGCTTGGGCGCTGTCCCTCAGTTCTTCAGCTCAAGGCTAGCGCTCTACCACTTGAGCCACAGCGCCACTTCTGGCTTTTATCTTTTTGCTTATGTGGTCCTGAGGAATCGAACCCAGGGCCTCATGCATGCAAGGCAAGCGCTCTACCACTGAGCCACCTTCCCAGCCAGCCCTGGCCTATTCTTAACATAAATTTGGACTTCAAAGTTTGTAATGCTATGTAAATTCTTTTTTTTTTTTTTTTGTCAGTTGTGGGGCTTGAACTCAGGGTCTGGGCAATGTCCCTGAGCTTTTCTGCTCAAGGCTATCGCTCTACCATTTGAGCCACAGAGCCACTTCCGGCTTTTTCTGCTTATGTGGTGCTGAGGAATCGAACCCAGGGCCTCATGCATGCAAAGCAAGCACTCTACCACTGAGCCACCTTCCCAGCCCCTGCTATGTAAATTCTTATTGTCTAATCTCTTTAAGAAAAATAAAACTCTGGCAAGTTGGAATGAGAAGCATGGTACTTTCTTAAAATGATGAAAACTTATAGACATTTTATAGTCTGCTTTCTTTTTAATATGACAAGTGATGTTTTACTGAAACTAAACTAATTTTGGATTCTGGGAATGTGGCTTAGTGGTTGAGTACTTACCTAGCATACATGAAGCACTGGGTTTGATTCCTCAGTACCACATAAACAGAAGAAAATTAAAAAAAATTATTTGAGAAAATAAGCTAATTTTGGATTAAGGAGATATTTCTTCCTATATCTTTTCTTTCTTTTTTTTGTACTTAGGACCTCAAGTTTTGCTCTGCTTTTTCTACCGAGTGAGCCACACTTGTGCTTCTGGCTTTTTGCAGGTTAATTGGAGATAAGAGTCTCAGATTTTTCTGCCTTGGCTCTAAATCTCAGTCCTCAGATCTCAGCCTCCTGAGGAGCTAGGATTACAGAATTGAGCCACTGGTGCCCAATAGGAAGTAATGTTTTAAAAAGGCAAACAGGACTGGGAAGGTGGCTCAGTAGGAGCGCTTTCATGCCTGAGGCCCTGGGTTCGATTCCTCAGCACCACATAAGCAAAAAGAAAAAAGCCGGAAGTGGCTCTGTGCCTCAAGTGGTAGAGCACTAGCCTTGAGCTGAAGAGCTAAGGGACAGCGCCCAGGCCCAGAGTTCAGGGCCCATGACCAGACCCTCCCCCCCCCTAAAAAAAAAATAAAAAGGCAAACAGACTTGGACTTTATGAAGGTGAAAAGAGAGAAAGTGTGAACATCTTATAAAATTCACAAAATCGTGGTATCTCCTAAATTATAAGATCCTTTCTGAGTTTGCTCAGTTTCCAGTGTATCCTTACCTGTCTTTTTTACATGTGTATTCAGTTAAGGGAAAGATAGAGCCTAAAACATTACATTGCATTTGTAACTTGTAGCATCAGTTTAATGTATTTTTTAATTACTTTTTTAATGCTTCCTTTGGTTAGTAGAATGAAATAGTAAGTGCAAGAACTTTTTACATTATTTCCTCTGCTATTTAATCAGTGTACAGTATCTGAAATGTTGAAAATTCTGCTCTTAAATTGAAATTTCTGGTTTTGAACTCGACAGAGATCCAAGAGCAAGCTTTTTATTTAAAGCTCCTTAATACTTTGAGTCTCTTGCTTTCTAGCTCTTTTATACCTCTGGAACTTTTTTTGTTGTTGTTGTTACTGGTGCTTGAACTTGTGGTCTGGGCACTGTCCCTGAGTTCTTTTTCTCAAAGCTGATATTCTACGACATGAGCTACAGTTTCACTTCCAGCTTTTGGGTGGTTAATTGAAGCCTAAGACTCTTGGATTTTTGTGCTCAAGCTGGTTTCTAACTGCATTCCTCAGATCTCAGCTTCCTAAGTAGTTATTATTACAAGGAAGAGTCACCAGCCCCTGGCTTAAGACATTTTTGGCACATTCCCATCCATGTGCATTTCTGCTACACAGTTACAGCCATGGTTTTGCCACAGTGGAACTGTGCTAAATTAGTTCTAGATCAGTTTGTAATTAGTGTTACTTATTTTTAAATGCTTGGTCTCATTTTTCTTCGTATTACCAATTACAACATTTTTATTTTCTATAATCAGATAGCAAGAAAACGGCATAAAGTTATTGGCACTTTTAAAAGTCCTCCTGGCCATACTCGACCTCCTGCTTCCCTTAAGCATATTCATCTAATGCCTCTTTCTCAGATTAAAAAGGTGCTGGACATAAGAGAAACAGAAGGTATGGTATGCCCACTGGTAAGTTATTGGTTAAATACCGAAAGCTTATATTTACTTGTGTGTTTATGAATGGATAAGTTATGTTTAGGTATAGTTGTCGATCTGGTGAGGCAGATGGCCTCATACTTTGATCTCAGTTCCACTTTGAGGTACAAAGTTTTGTTGTTTCAAATGAAAATGCTACCTCAACCTATGCACTATATGTATCCCTTATGAGTCAAAGAGCTTTGAAATGGTCATGTATTAAAGTAGTATTCTAGTTATCTTTTTTTATTTTTTCAGAACCCAAAAGAAATTACCTGTCCAGTACCTGTGTACCTGGGCACTGTCCCTGAGCTTATTTGCTCAAGACTAACTAGCCTCTTGATCCATAGCCCTACTTCTGGCTTTTTGGTAGTTAATTGGAAATAAGAGTCTCATGAATATTCCTGCTTGGGTTGTCTTCTAATGTTGATCCTCAGATCTCAGCTTCCTGCATAACTAGGATTATAGACATAAGCCACTTGAAAAATTCTCAGAGAAAAATTTCATAGCATCTAATGAAGCTGTTTTCACTCATGATCAAAGTTTGGGTTTACAAGGATTATATGAATCAGTTATTTAAATCCATTTGGGAATATTTTAGTTAGAAAAGAGCTGTTTGGTTAAAATAAGTTCTCTTTTTAGCAGCTTGATCCAAAGTAGTTCGTAAGTTTTAATATTTAGGTATTTATTTCTTTAAATCTACTTTTCAATAGGTTGTTATTTTTTAATTAATATCTTCAGTTATTTACAAAGGGGTTGCCATTTAACAGAGCAGTTTATGTGTCATCTCTTAAAACATGCTTACCCATCCCTCCCCTAGGTTGTTATTCTTGTAATGTTCTTCTAATTTGAAACTTAAATTCTAGGTTTTTAAGAAATGATATCTTTTTTTTTTTTTTTTGTCAGTCGTGGGGCTTGAACTCAGGGCCTGGACACTGTTCCTGAGCTCTTTCACTCAAGGCTAGCACTCTACCACTTTGAGCCATAGCACCACTTCCAGTTTTCTGGTGGTTAATTGGTGATGAGTCTCACAGACTTTCCTGCCTGAGCTGGATTCCAACTGCGATCCTCTGGTGCCCAGCGATACTTCATTTCTTATTTGCTTAAACTTCATTATAGAAATATTAAGTATAATAGAAAATACTGTTTAATGTTTTCAAGTTCTCTTGTTGACTCTTTGCATTATAAACAATATTATAAATTCAATGTTTCAACTTGATATAATGAGGTTCTTCAACTTTTAAAAAAAAAGGGCAGGTAATGTGGAAAAGAGATAAGTTCATTGAGTTTTGGTGATACAAAGAAATTTACAAGTCTTCAAGGAATAATAATATTTATGCTTGTTTTGGAACCTTAGATTGCCATAATGCTTTTGCCCTGCTTGTGAGGCCACCAACAGAGCAGGCAAATGTGCTACTCAGTTTCCAGATGACGTCAGATGACCTTCCCAAGGAAAACTGGCTGAAGATGCTATGTCGACACGTAGCCAACACCATTTGTAAAGCAGATGCTGTAAGTTCTTTGGAAAGCTGGGCTAAAATCAAAGTGTAAACTTCTAGGGCAGGCATTCAGACTAAATCTGTACATTTCCAATGACTTCCAAATGACTGTAGGAGTTTTAGCTTTGTGTTGATGCAGAAAAACTAGTTTCATAAATTGTTTTGGCAAATATTTTGTAAGGGTTAGGCACAATGGAACAAACTGGGTCCTTGGCTCAGAGCACATTCTCTTAGCTTGCTAACTCCTAACTTATTTAGTGAGACTTTTGTAATGTACCATGTGATTTTGCATTTAGTCACTGTCATTTAATTGGATAATTTATTTATATTTAAGGTAATTATTGATATACAACATTTTATAACTCATTTTCTAATTTGGTTGTAGTTCCTATTTCTCATTCTTTAAATCTTGTTAAGGTATTAACTTGTCATCGATGATGATGATATAGTTGTACAGAGGTGTTAATAATTTTATAAGTCAGGTTATAATTACAGTGCTTCTTGGTCTACTGTGTTTTCTTAATTGTGTGTCTGTTACTGAATGTTGCTTGAGATTATCATGAGACTTAAAACATGTTTAAAGTCTCAACTAACTTTTTAAGTCTCATAACTATTGTGAAAGGATACCAACTCAATAAGATCCTAAAGTTGAGAAACAAATCACGGGCTGGGAAGGTGGCTCAGTGGTAGAGTGCTTGCTTTGCATGCATGAGGCCCTGGTTTCTATTCCTCAGCACCACATAAGCAGAGAATGCTGGAAGTGATACTGGCTCAAGTGATAGAGTGCTCACCTTGAGCTGAAGCCCAGAGTTCAAGCCCCACGACTGACCATAAAAAAAAAACAAAAGAAAAAAGAAACAAATCACAATATCAAACTCTCCCACAAACTAGAGAAAATACAGTACTAGAGAATCCCATTTGTTCTCCTTTCCTCCCTTCACTTTGAAGTTTTAATGTCCCATTTTGCATTTTTCTATATTGCCTATCTTAGTATATTAATATAGTGTTGGTGGTTGTTAATGTTACTATTTGAAGGGTTTGAACTCAGAGTTCAAGGGTTTGAACTCAGGGCCTTGTGTTTGCTCAGCAGGTATTATTGTACCTGTATGTGTGTATCCTTTAGCTTTGGGAAGTTACCTGTTGTCATTTAATTAAGCTTTTATATTCCTTTGGCATGCTTAAATCATTGAACCTCAGTAATCCAGATATTTACTCCTTTAATGCCAAAGTTGCTGCAAGATTTCTTCCTCTTCTTTTTTGTTTTCGTTTTTGTTTTTGTTCTTCTTTGCCTGTATTTTCAAGTAAGTCTCTGAACTTACTAATTCTTTTTTTCTGTTTGATCTATCCTGATATTGATGCCTTCTATTATGTTTTTAATTTTGTTAATTCATTTTTCAATTCCATCTCTGTTAAGAGTCTCAGTTAACCATCTTTCTGTGTTTACTTGAAACTGGAGTTTCTTTAAAATAGCCATTTTAAAATTTACTTCCTGGTTTTCCCTGTTTATTTTCTGGTCAGTTCCTAATATTTTTTTGGGTGTGTGAGAGGGCAGTAATGAGGTTCCAGGCACTGTCCTGTAACTTTTTCACCCAAGGCTGGTGGTCTACTAGTTGAGCCACAGTTCCACTTCCAGCATTTTGGTGGTTAATTAGAAATAAGACTTTCCTGCCCAGGCTGGCTTCAAATCTTGACCCTCAGATCTCAGCCTCCTGAGAAGCTAGGATTACAGGTGTGAGCTACTAGCATATGGCTTGTTACTGTTGTGTGTGTGTGTGTGTTTTAATTTTAGTTTTTAAAAATTTTATTTGTTCCACAAAAAGGTTCATAGAGGGAAGCAATGGTAGAAAACATAAGCATATGCTGGCAAAATAAAAAAATGATGGAGAACAGTGTGCCAGAAGCTTCCAGAGCTAGTCGTTTTAAGGAAGAATGTTTTCTCACAGTGACTGGTATACATGTATAGAAGAGGTTTTCTTTTAGTGTTGTAGCAATGACCTCTGTATTTGTGAGGATGTGAGACTCGAGTGTTTAAACTGGCCTTTCCAGATTTATAACCCCACTACTGAAATGTAAACTTAAAACAACAACAACAAAAACAAAACTGAAAAATTCTAAGATAACAACATGAGAATAAGATATAAGCAAAAATGCAAGAATTTTATAAAGTATTGTCCACCAGATGGCGGCAAATATTCATGTTCTGTTTTTTTCTTACACCACAAAATTATTTCAGGCTGTGAAAATGTTACTTTTAGAGTTCTTTATATACATGAAGGCTGCATAATGGACCCAACCAAATGCTGTTTGAAAAGAGGTGGGGGGAAATGGATGGGAGGAATAAGAATATGGTAGAGAGAAGGTGAGTTTGTTCAAAGTGCCCTGTGTGCACGAATGGAAATATATAATAAACCCTTCATACTAAAAATGTGTGCCCGTTGAAAAATAAAGTAATGAAAAATGAGTTGTTTACAAATTCAGATATTCACTGACTTTCAGTTGAGTCCTTTCATCCATTTAAGACTTGACAGGATGGGCAGGGTGGCTAAAGTGCAACAACACCTGCCTAGCAAACACAAGCCCCTTCATTCAAGCCCCAGTGCTGCACTGAAAAGCAAACAAGAGAGAGTTCATGCATAGTAACTTTATAGAAAGCCTTGCATTAGTGTCCTGAGAATATTGTTCCTATATTGAAGACAGTTTGTCTAAACATGTGTAATTTATATGACCAAAATTGGCGCCCTAGGAGTTTAGATTCGTTACATATAATTGATATATTTTGCATTCTAGGTATTTAAGGAGTAAATTTAAGTCTACCAGTATTTTAGCTTTTTAGCTATGCTATCACTTTCACTCTTTAAGTTGGAAAATAATATTTGCACATCAGAGAAAAAATGAAATGCACTGAATTAGGTCTCATACTCATGTCCCAGTGGTTTTCCTTTCAGAAGCATGACTATCTTTCCAGAAATAAAGCCATAAATAAAGTTTCTTTGAAAATGTGCATTTATTAGGTTTAGCCCTAGGCAATTTCCTCTATATAATACTGTGGTAAATTGATGTTGCTTATCTTATTATTAATTTATGCAAATTCTATCTATATATTAGGTTGTTGTTCTTTTCTCTCTCTCTCTCTCTTTTTTTTTGGGGGGGGTTCAGTTGTGGGGCCTGAGCTCTGGGCCTGGGTACTGTTCCTCGCTCTTCAACTCAAGGCTAGTGCTCTACCACTTGAGTCACAGCACCACTTCCAGCTTTTTTCTTTTTGCTTATGTGGTGCTGAGGAATCAAACCCAGGGCCTCATGCATGCAAGGCAAGAGCTCTACCACTGAGCCACCTTCCCAGCCCCTCTCTCTCTCTTTTGTATTGTTGAGGTGGGATCTCACTATATAGGCTGGCCTTGAACTTATCTCCCAGACTAGTCTTAGAGATACTGTCCTGCCTCAGCCTTCCATGTGCTGGAATTGCTGACATATAACACCATGCCTGCCAGACTGAATGTTAATTTTTTAGCCAGTCACTTTAAATAAATTCTCATACAGCTTTGAGTAATTTTCTAGCTAATTCTATTGAAATTTTCAGCTTTCAGTTTTTAAGTGTAAGTTGACCCAATTCAAAAGAGCATTGGCAAATTGCTTTGTAATTTTTTGTAATTTAGAGACAAAGCAAAAACAGGATGATGGAAATGTGTTTACATGAAAAAAACATTCTTTTCTGAGTTTAGCTGTAGATCTTATTGATCTGTCAATTATGAGTATTATACATCTTGCTCAGTGTCATCCTTTCCATCATTCTTTCCCTCTGACCAATTATTTCTTTAAACCGTATTCATAATTACATTAGAAAAATGCTAATATTCCAATACAAAAAATAGGCTAAGTATATGAAGAAATAATTCACAACAAGAAAGTATGAACAGTCAGAGAACATGGAGAAAATATACCTTACTATTAGTTTTTAAAAATATAGGTGAAATTTGCAAACAAAATTAGATGTTTATTGTATGTATTGTATGCACAACTTGGATCTGATGCTTTCTTGCTCTTGGCCGGTGCTCTACTACTTGTCCCATCCTTGCAGTCTAGCATGTTACTGTTTAGTTGAAGATGAAGTCTCACAGACTTTTCTGCTCAAGTTGGCTTAGAGCCATGATCCTCAAAGTCTTAGTCTCCTGAGTTGCTGGGATTACAAGTATAAGCCTCCAGCACCTGAATGTTTCTCTATTTCTAATGTTCTGCCTTAGGAAATGGTATAATCAGAAAAGACACATCAACTATTCATTAGGAATATATATATACATATATGTAAATATATATATCTTGTGGATTTAGTTCTTTATGTATAATTTTTATATTATATAATATGTTGTATATCCCAAGTATAATATATATAATTCTTATATATTCTTAATGCTTGTATAAAACTATATATTTTTTAGATTTTTTTTTTTTTAAACTCTGGGCCTGGGCGCTGTCCGTGAATTCTTCAGCTCAAGGCAAGCACCCTACCTAACTTGAGCCACAGTGCCACTTCCAGTTTTCTGGTGGTTAATAGGAGATAAGAGTCTCACAGACTTTCTGGGCTGGCTTTGAACTGTGATCCTTGGATCTCAGCCTCCTGAGGACTAGGATTACAGACGTGAGCCACCGGCACCCACCCTTTGTTTTAGAATTTAATGTCTAGGAAACAAATAACGTTATACAGGATTGAAAAAACCTAAGATACAAAGCTAGTATTTTTTTTTTTTTTGCTTTTATGACTGTCTATTACTCTCTAGGTAGTTGTAGAAAGGGGTTTGAATTCAACAAATCAGTTTTATAAGTATAATGCATCTTGATCAGTGTTACCCCTTCCATTGTTCTCTTTCACCTTTCCCAACAAACAACTTTTTTTTACATGTAAGCAAATATCTGTAAGAATATGAAAACTTAGATACTAGCTAGCTAGATGTTACTGATTTATATAATTTTCAATGTGTGTCTTCCCGAATCTTTTTAACTGTAAAAATAGTAAGAAGTATTATTGACAATTAGAAGTAAACACTATTACCTGGCTAGGATTACATTAGCCCAGAAGTCATTTAGCATATGGTGGTTCTAATGAAGAAATTAGAGAACTTGTAGCAAACTAAGTCTGTCTTATGTGGTGGTCAGTGGTAGAGAGCGAACAGGCATTTTTAATTTACCACTTTGTGTTTATAAAAAGGCTTCATTTCCCTTCAGCGTAGTACTTCTGGGTATTATCTTCTTTTAGCTGTATAACTTCTAGAGGCGAGCTTAGGTATTTACTCCATTTTTGCATATGAGAGAAGTTTCAGACAAACCCACTTTTCACAAGGCTCTGTTAAATTCTCTCTGGCCACAGAATACAGTGCAAGAGGACTGGGGCAGTGTAACAGCTGACACGCTAGATCTGTACATTTCAAGGGAAAGTTGTTTATAGGCATATGCATAAAGGTTTTTGTCTCATTCATTTCCTTTTGAAAATCCACTCAATTTGACAAGTAATACTTTGTTTTGCTTGATTATCTTGTTAAAAAGGTTAAATTTAGCAGGTAATTCTTGTCTTTGATGAGGATTTTTACTTTCCTAGAAAAACAATGGAAACTGAAACTCTCTTAGGAAAAAGTACTGAGTACATGTTCACATAAAATTCTGTACAACATTTCAAGGCGGTTGTGTATTATACACCTGTGTTACTCAGGAACTCCTTTTAAAATTTGACACAGGGTTGAATTTACATTGTCTTGTTTGAGTCTCCTGAGGGCTGGGATTACAGGTATGTACACCAGGCCTGCCTCACCCAAGTTAAGTCTCATTTGAGATCTTTTCAGATATAAACTCAGGAAAGAATGAAAAGTAGAAAAAAGTCTGAATTTTAGCTTGAGATTTTCTTAGGGAAAGTGCTTTTGTTACTGGTTTTGTAGTAGTCTTTATACCTAAGCATTAAATCTTGTAACTTTGTAACTGATTGGTTTTATGGTTATTAGTAAGAGTTTATATTGATGCATATTCATTCCCCTTGTCTTGGTGTTCATGATTCTTTCTGTGAACTACTCACTTTGAATACTTATCATGTACTATCCTTAAAGCAGTACAGTTCAAAATAGTAAAAGTGGTGCATTTCATGTAGCAATTTTGTGAAGTGCACCACAGATTTGAGTAGCTTCATTTATAAATTGTGAGTGTATGTATGTTTGTGTTTGTTTACATAGGTTTGAATTTAGAATCAGTTGGTACTTAAAAAAAATTAATGATGTATAATTTTCAACAGGAGAACCTTATTTACACTGCTGACCCAGAATCCTTTGAGGTAAATACAAAAGATATGGATAGTACGCTGAGTAGAGCATCCAGAGCCATTAAAAAGACTTCAAAAAAGGTGAGTTTTAGGGCAATTATTTCATATATCTCTAAAGTGTGCTTTTTGGTATTATATGAAACTAATTTTGCTATGAACTCTAATGTAAAGACAGTGTATACAGGGTTAAAGCCACTCCTTGGTTCTAGGAAGCGGTCTACGGAGAAAATGGTTTAGTTCAGTGCTGTCCTGTGGTGGAGGTTCTGGTAGTGGGCTGTGCCTTTTATTCTTGTTTCTGTGATGCTGTGCACAGCAGATCAATAGTAATGTAGTGTTGGTGTGTCACATCTAGATGTGTCACATTCATCTTAAATAGCATCTCATCTTTTCAGCAAAGGACACAGTGAGGTAAGAGATCTGATCCATTCCTGGCACTACACGTAGGTTTCCGTCTTCTTCCTTCCTTGTCTCATTGGACTTGCTGGGGACTGTATAAGTGTGTTGGTAATAGGGTTTTTTAAAAAAGAAGTAGAATTGTAGTGTTCAGGGAAATTTGTAGCCATGTAGTTTGGGTAGGTTTACAAGTTTTGTTTGATTTCCCTTTGAAGGCAAGGCCTTACATTATCCCTCCTCCCATCATTTAACATGTATAGTAGATAAAGTTATTGAATGAAGATTAAAGAATGACTTCATTTTCAGTAAAGAAATTGAGGTACTAGTGCTTTGAGATGAATGATCTTACAACTATTCTTAACAAAATCAGGTAAGAATCTTAGGTTGACCAATTTTGAGCACTGCCAAATTCAAAAAAGGTAAAGAGAAAGAGAAAACTTAAAAAGAATCCAGGTTTCTTGTCTCCCAGGCTAGCTTTTTTTCTCTCTCTGTCTTCCTTCCAGTGTACTTCAACACTATCTAAATGCACAGTATTCTACAGCATCCTGTATTTTCTTACTGTTTATGTCATGGGGAGTTCTGCACACTCTGCTTGTAGAAAATAATGTCTCATGGACTGTGTTGAATTTGTATTAACCTTAACAAATTACAACTCATTTTAACTGTAGGTCACAAGAGCATTCTCTTTTTCCAAAACTCCAAGGAGAGCTCTCCGATTGGCCCTGATGCCAGCCCATAGCTCGGCGGAGGGAAGAAGTCCCGATAAGCACACTTTGAGTCGTCTGTCTAGCACGTCATCACTAGCAGTAAGTGTTTTAACGCACTAGACTTAAACATATTTATGGACTTGGTAGAGTATTTAACTGTTTTGAATAGGAGACACTAATGTCTCCCATGTTTTTTTAATGTATCAGATCTTTAAATTTTATTTATTTAAAGCAACTAAAACATTAACTGGAGATACACTTAATATGTAGTTCATTCAGTATGGGATTTTACTGGGGTTCATATATGTTCTACCATCCTGACAAAAAGAACCCTTCCAATCTGGATCACTTTACTAATGTATATTTATGGTTCTGTTTATATAGATAGGTTTCAATAACAGACTGAGATTTATTCCTTTTACTGTTTCTTTGATGAATGGATTATCATCTCTGAAACTGAATTTTAGAGGATTATATGGATTCTAAATTTGTGTCTATGTTTTAGACACTTTCTGGGTAATCCACAGCACAACAGTGTCATAATTATTAGATAAGGGAATTTCTGACATGTATTATTGTCATCGAGTATAGGAATGATATGTCTCTTTTTGTTAATGTTTTATTAGCCCAGTAGGATAAGAAAAGCAAACTGTCACTTCTTAACTGTGTTCCCTTCAGCATGCTGCTTCTTTTACCTTTCACCAATGAGAAAAGACGTCAGCAGTTCTTAGCCATTAGTATAAGAACTGAATTATACATAAAATCATGTGTGTGTTATGGTTGTTCATATAGGCCAAGTAGTAATTTGGGTGGGAATTAAGAATAGGAACTCTTGGAACCTAGATCTTCAAGACATGCTTTGCTGTTCGTGTCTCTGTTTTTTTGGCATGCTATTGCATATACTTCTGTAATTTCTCTATCTGTAAAATGGGTTTAAGTAGCTGTGAGGATGAAATGAGTTAGCACTTAAGTGCTTACTAGCACATGTGTGTAATCAGTGGTAGCCTTTTATATAATAGAAAATTTATACAAACAAAGCACATAATATTCAGTAAATATTTTTAAAAGCTAGTTAAACATTTTCAGTTAGCGCATCAAAAGATTATAGACAAATTTATGAGTATGCTTGATAGATTTTTAAGAATCAAGGCTAAACCAATGAGAAAGCAGTTGTACTTATAGAAATATATACAAAGTAATTTAATCCATCAAATTGGCTTACAAAATGCAGATAAACATCCATTTGTTAAATTACAGGCTTTGTCAAGATCAAAGTACTTTAAAAAAGTCTATAATAACTATTATAAACAGTCTTCAAAGTAAGGCATTTTATAGAAAATTTTTTAGAAAATGAATTAGTTATTTGTAGTTATATATCATTTTATGTAAACTATGTACATAAAACATAAAATATCTTTTAAGACATTCATGTCCTCTTCTCAATTGCTTCTCAATTGTTTCTATTCTGACGGATAACCTATTCTGTTTCCACAAGCTGTGTAATTGGATTTGCTAAGCGTGTTTATGTTCAGTGTTCAGACTCTACTGGTAGGCACCCTCAGCATTCATGGTTTCGATCTATACATCATTCTGCCTCTTGAGCTAGTTTTTTCAAAGTTACTAGAAGGAAATATTGATTTTTTTTTCAAATTAAAAAAATTATATCAAAGTCATCTTTGACATTTGTGAAGAATTAGGAGATACGCCAAGCAGTAATAGAAACAAGCCTCATGAAGTTTATTGGGAGCTTATTAGTATTTGAAATGTGTATTTATGGAAAGAAATGGAAATGTTCTTTCTCCATTGACTCAGCTTATGGGGGGGTTTGGCGGGTTGGGATTTTTGTTGTTGTTGTTGTCGTCGTCATTGGGCTTGAACTCTGAGCCCGGGTGCTGTCCCTGAGCTCTTCAGCTCAAGGTGAGCGCTCTACCTCTTGAGCCACAGCGCCACTGGGGTTGAGATTTTTGAATTCACAACTTTATTGCTTTAAATGTAACTTGTTTAGGTCAAAGAGTTTCTTTGCATATTGCTCAGTAAATATATTTTTAGATTACTATATTTTTGCAAAGCAATTACTCTTTTCAGTCCAGAAAAGTAAATTCCATTAGAAATTCTTATTTAGGAAAATTAGAGAAATTTCAGAAAATTCTTATGTAAATTTGCATTCCAAATAAGATTTTTATTTTAGACTTAACAGTATTTATGTAAACATATGTAAGCTTTGTACCTGTATAAATATCATTGTTTTGTCACTTGTTTGATCTCTTTGATCAGTTCATTTTACTCCATTGGTGAGAATTTACTTACAGTCAGCTGCCTTTTTGGCACTAAGTGTGGTCATAGTAGCAGAGTCTTATAATTCATTTTAATATATTCTTAGGTTTTTATATTCATGTTTCTTTTGTTTTTAAACTACTGATCATGTTTTAACTGACTTCTGAAACAAGAATTTAGATAGCTCAGCTTTATAATAAGGGCTCCTGTTTTACTCATGGAGCAAAATTGCACAAAATATGTAGACACATAAATATAAGTTGCATATATAATACAAACTATGGTTGGAAATTAATTTCTTAGTTTTAGAAAGTTATCTCCAATGAAGTGATTTTCACTTCTCTTTATGAATTAATAAGAGATCATTAGAGCTGGACCCCGATGGTGCCTACCTGCAATCCTAGCTACTCAAGGAGCTAAGGTCTGAGGCTGGGCTACTCAAAAAAAAACTGCAAGTGGAGCTGTGGCACAAATAGTAGAGCACTAGCTTTGAGCATAAGAAGCTCAAGGACAGCCCCTAGGCTCCTAATTCAGGCCCTAGCACCAGCACCCAAAAAAGGAGGAGGAGGAGGAGGAAGAGGAAGAAGAAGAAACCATTAGTTTTTTCCTTTCTCTTTTTTCAAAGACTTGGAACTTATTTTATATACCTTGCTTACTCAACAAAATTTCTCACTGAAGAAAGTTAGGCATCACTATTATCAGCAGGACGTTTCTTCCTGAACTATACGTTATGGGTTTTGGGGGGGAATTTTTTTTTTTGTTTTTTAAGGAAAATTTTAATTGTAAAATATTTGTCTTTACAGGGCATTCCGTCTCCGTCCCTTGTCAGCCTTCCTTCCTTCTTTGAAAGGAGAAGTCATACTTTAAGTAGATCCACAACTCATCTGATATGAAACTTTAGAAATCTTAAATTACAGGCATATATAAACACCTCATACTCTAGTAAGAAGCTGACTTAAATGGTACTTGCGTTAGCACTTGGTAAAAGCTAGAAAGAAGATAAGTAACACTAAACTATGTTATTTGATTTTCTTTTTGAAAATTTTTGAAATTCATGTAAAAAATATGTTGATTTTGATGTAATTTATCTTTTTGCTCACATTCTCATCTGAAGACCAGTAATTTATTATTCATTGTATCAGTAGCTTTGTAACTCCTGATAGTAAAATTTATTTGGTATAAATTTTACTGGTGGTGTCAAATACTACTGTGATTCTGTTTGTATAGTATCCGTGAATGTTTATGGAAGTACATATTTGTGTATCTCCATTTGTGCAGAGATTAAGTGATATTATTATACTTACTAGATAAAAACCTGCAGAGATTCTTGATTAAATAATGAGGCCTTACTTCATTCAATACACTGTTTGATGTATTTAACTGCTCTTTTTCAGTTGGTCTCAGATGTTTTCAAGATCCAGCATGTGGGTTTTAAATTCTGCCTTTATTAACAAGTATAACATTTAAATAAGATTGTTTGAACATATTGTTACAAACTGAGATAAGGAAAGAAAAGTTATAAAAAACTGTATATTTTGTAAAAGCAAGACATGGGTATAAGCTTATATCTGTTTCAGTGAGTATATTTTGGGGGATTTTAGCCACTAACAAATCTTGATTTGGTTTGATACTATATTGGAATTTATTTCAAAGGATAAGACCATGGAAAATGGTGGTAAAGATTATTTATCTCTTTATGAAATCATTCCAAATTTACCATTAGCTTTATGATCTGCTGTGAAGTACATAGATATACATGTGTGGTAACATTTTATTGTGGTCTTAGCATTAAGTGTAATATTAGAAATTTACTGTTGTATCTTCCAAAGCCTGATGTTACCATTTCCAATAGTATTTTTGTAGTCGATAATACAAAATAATCAAGCTTCTGGGAATATGTGTGTTTTTTTTAATTTCCTATGGGATACTGCAAATATTTCATTGTTGGGCATTTTTCAGTTACCTGCATTAATAGTTTAAGTGACTATAGCTTCTTTTTTTTATACTATGTATGTGCTGCTTCCGATATTAGTAAATGAATTTTTTGTTGTATTTTAAAAATAGTTACATTAGCTAAAAACCTTGTAAATAAATGTTCAAACCCAAGAAAACTTCCCAGTGTCTTAATTCCTTCAGATGAATTCTCACAGATGTGTGAATGCCTCATTAACCTCTCTGCTCTGCTTTGTATTTGGCTTATTTATTTCTTTATTAAATCTAAAGAGCATTTTGTCTCCTGGGCTATCTGATATGGGAGTCATTTTTATAGAACATAATTTTATTGTTATTAGATGTTGTAACATCCCGGAAGTCAAGGTAATATGTACTTTTTGGACAGTGTCACCCCTTCCTTCACTTTCCCCCAGTTTCCCCCTCCGGTTCTAGCTCACAGTTGCATTTTTCACGTAGTGTCGACTGAATTCTTCCTCTTTCCTTTTTTGTGCCCCTTTACAAAGAAGAAAAGTGAAAAACACACCATAACCATCACTACCAGCACCAAAACCTATGTTTCCATTTCCTGCAATTAGTTTTGATAAGTAGTACTTTGGGTTCCTCCCCTAAGGTGTCCTCCTTTGGTCTGTGTGTGAATGCCTAGAGTTCTGTATGAGTTACGTCCAGTTCTATTTTAACTCTAGCTTCCAGTCCTGGGGCTTGAACTTGGGGCCTGGGCGCTGTCCCTGAGCATTTTTTTTGCTCAAAGCTAGTGCTCTACCACTTGGGCCACACCTCCACTTGCAGCTTTTTGGTAATTAATCAGAGATAACAGTCTCACGGACTTTTCTGTCTGGGTTGGCTTCAAACGGTGATCCTCAGATCACACACTCTTGAATAGGATTACAGGTATGAGCCACCGTCATCCACTAGTACAGGAACTTGAAAATCTGGAACCTACAGAATGGGGTAGTGGGTTTCCGATTTTAGGTAAATTTTGTGTTTATGTGTATGTACGCATGCATTTTTTCTGACAAGAAAATGGAAGACATGAAAATATTTATCATTTGCTTGAAAGTGGAGACGTGATTTTCCTCAAAGGGTGGCATTTTCCGAGGTAAGAACTGAGATAAAGTAGGAAGCTGGAAAAAGTATTGCATATACACTAGCAATAAAATAAAAAAAATAGGAAATTATTTATTTTAAAGGATATGCTTCTAGTTTTCATCATTATCTACCTGCTCCAGGATTTTGATATATATATTCTTTGCATTTTGCAGACTCACTGGACTAGAGTATATATGTGTATAAAACGAAGACCATTAGTTTCGGTAATCAAAAAAACACTATGCATTGTATGTCCAAATTTCTATATGTTCTGTAATAAAAGTATTCTAGAAATATATAAAACACTAAAAATCAGTTTTTTTTTTTAAAGAATAGAAATAGCCCTTCTTCCCTCCGCTGTCATTTTGCCTTTTTCTGGCTTTCTTTGACACAACTGTCTATCTTGTCACCTGAGCCAGACCTGGGAGGAGTCATCCAGATAGGCCAGGTAGGCTGACCTCTCGTCTTCATCCTTGTGGGCATTTTGAAGATCCTAGGCATCGATCCATTGTCCCGTCTTCATTCCCAGTACCATGCTTTATTTCAGGCACATGTGACTCTCCTAGAGTTATCCAGTCCCTTTCAGTTCCACAAAAGCAGAATCCAAGGCAGTCTTCTCTTCAGGTTTCTTGGGCTTGTCCATGCTGAAGAGAAACAGGAGGAGGGAAAGTTAACATTGCTCAGCGGGATTGGCCACAGTTGCTTAGTTCTGTGGGAAGTTTCCACGTGGCTTGTGAAAAGTAAGAGGGTTGCTCTCAGCTTTCGGTTCCCATTGTCCCAGCCAGCACCATGATTTGAGTTCCTGGCAATTCCAGGTTGTACTTGTGTGCAAGGCTTTGCCATCCTGAGACCTTAGAGTCTCAGAACTCCCCATGTCAGGAAGTGAGCTGGAAGTACCTCCTTCAACGATGGCTTCAGTAAGAAGAGACCTTACTTGGGTTTGGAAAGTGTCCAATGAATCACCAAACTGGTCTTGTCCATCTGTTCATCCTCTATAACCTTTATTCATAGATAGCCTCTATTCATCCATGGATATGTAGGGATATAGCTAAGGAGAGCCTCCATAACCAAATGCTTTCTGCTGTTTATAATTGTTCAATAGCCCCTAAAGCTTTACAGTGTACATGAAGACCTAGTATCGGGTCCTCTCCTGCCTCCTCGAGCTGTCACTTGCCAATTCCTCTTAACCATTTCTACTTCTGTTCTTTACCTTGTTTTCTTTTTTGGTGCTGGTGCTAGGGCCTGCGCATGGGACTTGGTGCTTTCGTTTTTTCACTTAAGGCTGGAGTTCTCCCACTTGAGTCCCAGCTCTACCTCCAACTTTTTGGGAGTCAAGTAGAAAGAAGAATCTGAGGGGCTTTCCTGCCCTGGCTGGCATTCAACTTCAATCCTCAGCTTTCAGCCTCCTGAGTAATCCTCTTAGGATTCCATGCACGAGCCACTGGTACCCAGCTTTACCTTGCCTTTATCTATACTGTGCTTTTATCTAGGATGCCAGTTTTGCTGGCCTATTTCTTGAATTTTTTATTTTTTTATGTTTAATTTAATTTTTTATTTTTTGCCAGTCCTGGGACTTGAACTCAGGGTCTGAGTACTGTCCCTGAGCTACTTTTTGCTCAAGGCTAGCTCTCTACCACTTGATCCATAGCGCCACTTCCAGCTTTTTCTGTGTATGTGGTGCTGAGGAATTGAACAAGGGCTTTGTGCATGCTACGCAAGCACTCTACCAGTAAGCCACATTCCCAGCTCCTGGCCGATTTCTTTTTTTTTTTTTTTGGGTCTGGTCGTGGGGCCTGAACTCTGGGCCTGGGCACTGTCCCTCAGCTCTTCAGCTCAAGGCTAGCGCTCCACCACTTGAGCCACAGCGCCACTTCCGCCTTTTTTCTTTTTGCTTATGTGGTGCTGAGGAATTGAACCCAGGGCCTCAGGCATGCAAGGCAAACGCTCTACCACTGAGCCACCTTCCCAGCCCTCCTGGCCGATTTCTTGAAAAAGTCTTATACTCTCCTCTTTCCCTGTTGTTCTCCTTTTACCTGTCCAACATACTTGGTGCAGTATCATAGAATGTATTAAATGTTACCTAGTTTATGTGTCAAAGGAGATTGTCACCTCTCAGCACAGAACCTGACAGACAGAAGGAGCTCGGTAACATTGAGATAGTTCTGGTACATAAGACAGGTTTATATAGGGGAAAGTGGACCAGTACTTCTACTAAGATAAACACCAACCACATTAGGTGCAGGTCTAATTATCTTTGGTGTTGTAGTTCCTCTTGTGTTCATCTAACATATTATCATAAGATGTACTTTGGAAAGAATGGAGATTTGAGCATCATAGGAAGGAATGTTAAGAGATGGGGGAAGAATGCATCACTGAGATACCGAATGGTCCACGGTTATCATTGAAAAGAAATGTGAAACTACAACCCATATAGCAGTCTTTGGGGGAGACTGGCCCTCCCTGCTAGTTGGAGCCACATGCTGGAGCTTCAGACACAGCCACAGGAGCTTGGATGAAGTGGGCTCTGGGCCAGTGTCATTTCTGTAGAATTTGAAAGGTGACATAAAGCATTAATATTCGACTTCTCCAAGGATTGAGTCTTGCTGTTAAGAGGTGTGGCTTTGCTATTGCTCCAGCAAGTGTGAGGCAATCTTGTAAAAGAATAATTCAGCTTGATATGTTCATGCTGCTTTTAGAGTTTCAGCTCAGAATTAATTTTTTGCCAAATTATTATTTTTGAAAGAATAATGATACAATTATTCTGTTAAAAGACAATATATATAACTATTTCTGTTTTCAGTGTTTGTTTTTGGGGGGGGGAGTGTCTGGTCGTGGGGCCTGAACTCTGGGCCTGGGCTCTGTCCCTCAGCTCTTCAGCTCAAGGCTAGTGCTCTACCACTTGAGCCACAGCGCCGCTTCCGGCTTTTTTTTTTCTGCTTATGTGGTGCTGAGGAATCGAACCCAAGGCCTCATGCATGCAAGGTAAGCGGTCTACCACTGAGCTACCTTCCCAGCCCTGTTTTCAGTGTTTTTAATGCTATAGCTATATAACTCCCTAACTATAGTACAAATACTGCCAGTTTTTTGATTGTCAACTTGAGACCTCATTCATTAAGCTTCTGAGAAACTGGGACATGTTTAATCAACTGAAGTTTGCTCTTTCCTCTTCCTTCCAGTTGAAAACAATGGTTCCTTTTGTTTTATTTTTACTCTAGTGAGGCAGCATTTCATAACTGCTAGTATTGGATACTATTAAATGGTTGAATCTTACTGGTATGAGATGGGTCTATCCTTTATATGTATTAATTTATTTCATCCTCAGATCAGACCTATGGAATAGATATGCTTGCCATTATTCAGAGGTGGAAACAGTCTGATAGCAGTTACATAACTTGTACAAGGTTACCTTACCAGGTTGTAAGTGGTAGAACTGGTTGGCTCCGCCGATCTTGCTATACTGTCCCCCAGAGCAGGCCAATGGAACCCCTCCCGTTCCCTTCAATTTTATATTGTTACCATTACAATGTTCTGTTGTATAACATTAAGTTCTAGGTTTTGTTTAGAGGTTAGTTTACAAGATGGAAATGAATGTATAGTATTGACATTATAATTGAGTTTTGTCCAGTACAAAGATGTGTTAGGATTATAAATTCGGTGTTTCACCCCTGGAAACAATGCTCAATGTTCCTGAGTCCAGTTCCAGTGAAGCTTTGCTTCTTATCAGGGCTCCCTTCTATTTCTCAAAAGCTGTCACATATTAGTTTCAATACTTGTTGGATATGACTTTTTTTTTAAAATTCTTTCCTTGGTGGTTTTTTTTTTTTAATTGTGGGAATACAGAGAGTTACAATTACATGGGTAAAATAACGAGTACAATTCTTATCAAGCATTGTTGCCTCCTCCTTGTTTCCCCTTCCCATCCCTTCCCATACTCCCCCCACCTTCCCCTACCCGATCCCCCCCCACCAAGTTCGTTTTTCAACATAACAACTTGTACATCTCATTGTTGCAATGGGTCCACCTGTATCCCTAGTTAAATGATTTGTTTTTGTAA